TTTTTTTTAGTATAGATAGTATTTATTTACCTCATGATATGCTGCAAAACCTAATTAATCACGAATTTCTAATTTTATGTACTCTTGTCTCCAATTGTACCTCCCAAACATCCTTAAAGAAAACTCAAATTATATTTGTACTCGACAATATCGTTATCTTTAACACCATTAAGATTATGAAGTCAAAAATTACTAAATTAAACTCCACACTTATCACTTAATAATTTACTGAATTGACGTTGATTTACGTAACATTTGTCTAAATTCTTCTTTCAATGTAAATTTTGTAAATACACTTAAATATTACTAATATAAAAGGAGAACAATTAATTGGTTTTAAAATACGGGGCCTTCAGAAATAGTGATCACCAAGATTGGTCTAGGTCTAGGTCAAGTCAGCAAACTGTGAATATTTATGTGCCTTCTTGTACAATACAATTTTTTAAAATTCAACATTGGAGAATACATTAGTAATAGTGATTATTCAGAAATAATTCACTTCAGCCAACAATAACTTTCGGCACTGTTTTCTTTAAAAGTGTTGACAACCTCGCTTGTATGACAGAAAATTTTAGCATTTAAAATAAGAAAATAGAATAATTGTTAAAAAAAAAAAATATAAGTATCAGATTAAATAAGCAATATCAAGACTTAACACGCAAGACCTATATCAGCAAGACTAAGACCGAAACTATATCAGCAAGATGAAGACCAAGACCTAAAAAACAAGACCATAACAATATACCAAGACTTTCCCAATCTGACCGTTCCAGTCTTGGTATTGCTTTGCTCAGAAACAATTAGGTACATTCATGTGATAAAAACGGTAGCAATCTGAATAATTCTATTAATTCTTTTTTTATCGAACTCCGTGAGATTTTCCGCATCAAAGAATCCAGCCAGCGCAAAGCAATTTTCGACCGTTTTAAGGTTTATCTGGTGGGATTTCATGAATTGGAAATTTAATTTTCGTTCCGAAGGAATACAGCATAAACCTATCTCATAAAATACTTTTTATGTATCTTATGAATATAATTATTATACGTTTAGCGACGGCGAGCGGCCGACGTGGAAGAAACACACGGAATGGAAAAGAGCATTAGCAATGAGTTTCCCGCTGTCTGGGCAAACACTTCACCATAAAGTTTGCAACTCATCCCAAACGACTCATCAGTATTCCAATCTCCTTTATGCGCCTCAAACCGATTCGTTATTCAGACGGAAGCGACAGAAAATTTTGGACTAGTGGCTCGAAATGGAATCGCAAATGTATCTCTCTACGTCTTCCTTTCACTCACAAAAGCACACCCATCCTACCCATTATTTTATGCGTATCAGTATCAACAATCGACGGAGTTGCTCTTGGTGACATAAAGTCCGCTTGCCGTATATAAGTTTTTATTAGACGTAACCTCTACAAACTATTGATTTTAGTGTTTATATTTTAAAAAAATTAGAAGAAGTGGCCGATTTTAGAGGTATCTAGGAAGTCAGATAAGTCAGGACGGAAAGAGTAGTAAGAATATAAAGCACAGGATAGCGCAGGGTCGAATCGCCTTCAATAAAAAGAAGTCAGTTCTATGCTCGCGAACGGTTAATTTAGAAATTCGAAAAATATTGTTAAATGTGTATGTTTGGGGTACGGCGCTGTACGGGTGCGAAACATGGACAGTGGGCGCGGCGGAAAAGAAAAGGTTAGAAGCGTTCGAAATGTGGTGTTACAGGCGAATGATGAGGATACCGTGGATAGAGAAGGTTAGAAATGAAGAGGTATTAGAAAGAATAGGAGAACAGAGGACTCTATGGAAGTTAATAAGAAATAGGGAGATAGGTTAGTAGGACACCTGCTCAGACATGAAGGTCTAGTCAGAGACATGTTAGAGGCAGAAACAGGAGTTAGGAGAGGTAAAGGTAGACCTAGATTAGATTACTGTTCGCAAATAGTTACGGATTTGGCATGTTCTAGTTTTAGGGAAATTTTAGGGATTAGCTCAGGATAGGAAAGAGTGGACGTGCGTGTCCAACTAGTCTTAGAACTGATGACTTTATAATGATGAACCATTAATTTAATAGACCACTTTTTGACCGTTTCTAACAATTTCGAAGATATTCACGTTTCTCTTTCATTATCCTATAGCACAAATCGTCCTTGTTCATAGCGCTGAAACCATTATACCTATGACCTAGTCTAAACCTTTCTGGTAAAACCGCTAGGAAATTGAAATTATGGTCGAGAGCTTTTGAAAATTTTTAGTTGTCAAATAGTTGTTCGTTAAGTGCTCAATTAGGATCACTAATTATTTGCAATTAAAAAAAACTTGCAATGTGTAATTTCAATTTTCACAGTAAATTTTAATAAGACTGATTGATTTCAGATTTGTTCACAAGTTGCTTAATAAAGCACAATCCTTAAATACGCAAAAAAAATAAGTAATGGTTACATTGTAATAACTATTAACTGTTGGGTGAAGACAATATTATTAGTCTACTATTAATGATACTACATTTAAGTTGTTTTTGATTTTATTATGATTTATTAATTGCTAAATCTTTTGCATATTTAACCATCGAGCTTTATTAAGCAACTCGTAAACAATTTTCTGATACCAATCAATCTTAAAGAATTTTACTGCGAAATTTGAAAGCGCAAAAGAGTTTTTAATTAAATTGCAAATAAATTAAAAAAGGTTTATTTTTCAACTTGAACAATTATTGATTTTAATTAAGCATTTAACTAAAAATTCACGAAAGCTCATAGTCGCACTTCTAATTTTCCTGCAGTTATTGTATGTGATATTAACGGTTCTAACTTTCCTCACAGGTTTCTTTCGAGACATAAAGATACCGACCCAAGTATTTGCAAAATATTAACGTTTTTATATTCTTTTTTCCAAAACCGTGGTAATTATTTGAAAAGAAAAATTAGTTTAAGAGAAGGACATAGATATTTAATGCTACACTATAATAAATCTCATGTGATTTGTAGAACACGCAATGAGAGAACTGATCCTTTAAAATGAATACAGAAAATGCAAAAATATATGCACCAATTTATCTGGCAGCATGATTGATTGATTTTTAACTAATAGTCTATGATGGGCAAAAATAATACCTGTACGTATTTCTAACATTCTCGTCAGGTATTCGGATAGATCTAGTAAATTGCGAAATGACCTCACACTACAAATTCGTAGATTATACCAACACTTCTCGGCTGCATATCTTCCACTTCATTTGACTCTATAGTGTCATTTTGGTCCCGTCTTACTTTGACTCTCAAACGTAGTTTTCAGGATCATCGGAGCACGAAATATGACTGTTCCTCCCTTTAGCATGCTTGATCTCCCATGCCTTCGACTTTTGAATAATAATAAGAGGGTACAAAGCGCCTTTGGTAAACTATCATCCATTTTTTTGTTTTTTGTATGATAAAGTATATACGTATGTAGTCCTGATGATAATTATAATTGAACAAACAACACTGTCGTCATAATTTAAAAATTGAAAAGGATGATGCAGGATGAAATAAATAAAATTAAAAATTATATTCAAAAAAATCTTTTCGTTTTGTACCTATATGTATAGCTTTATATGTAACTATTATGTGTATATAACTGATTCTCTTTTTTGCAGGTGCGAGGCATGTGGCAGCAATGACTACACTGGGTAAGCGATTGATAAAGTATTTGCTTTTCTGTTTGTTAATTGAATAATAATTGTTGTAGAATGATTAATAGTTAAATTATTCAGAAATAAAGTCGTACTTAATTTATTGAAATGGGTAGGTCTAGCTGACGGCTATTAGTTCACGCTGTTCTCCCTGTAGCAAAGTAGATTACATAATTCTAACTAATGAACCATTGCAATTTTTGGTCCTTGGTTACTGAATAATGAAATTTTGATGAAAGTATACAAGATGTAACAAAAATAAGTGCAGAATTTTGGAGGATGTAAACTAATTGCAATAAGGAATCACATTTTGAGTTCAGTAACATGGTTAAGGGCAAAATTTTTTCCAGGAAACCGCTCGTCATGTAACTCACGCAATGGTTTTTCAATGTGAGGAGCTCCTTCATGTTTATAAAGCATAACGTCCTCACAGATGCAATCCTCAAGTAAATCCGACAGAGTTTCTAATAAAATAGTCAAAAAATCGCGCCATTTAAATACACTCTACACATTACATTTACCAATTTTTGGTGAATTTGCGTTACGCCAATGGTGACTATTGTGAAAATTGAAAACACCCATGGAAAAAATTAGGCTCTGCAACACTTTCCTTTCGAAACCACTAAAACAAATTCATATTCGGGGCTGAAAATCAGTTTCAGTCAAGGCAAGCACTCGCTGCAATTGACAAGGATACAGTAAGTGTTTCTTTAAAATTTACCAAACTGAAACATGTGAGGAGCCTACGTTCCCTGCTATTTCGCGTGTACTATTATGGAGATTGTCTTCTGAAAAATCAAGAATTTCGCCCTCTACAGCTGCAATAAGTATCGTGTCACACCATTATAACAGTAACAGTTCTACAGTGACATACTGACCCACTCCAATGACTATGTTGTTTTGCTGAATTGGTTAATTGAACTGCATATCGATTGACTAAACACAAAGTTTAAAAAAGATCAAAGAACTATTACAGGTAACAAATAGCAAACGATACATGAGAAATAAAAAAAACACCAATTAGATACTTATAAAGTCAAATAAGTTAGCGCGTCCTGTAAGGTAAGATATAGGTAGCGTTTCCGTTATTGACAACCATGATGATAGCCGTGAAAGCTGCAATTGTAACGTTGATGCAAAAGTGCAAATGACGTCTTTGGATTATTTAGTGAAAACGGCTTGACACGGCTGTCGCGTTTTGTAGTCTCCCGTCCGCGTCCTCTATTTTCATTAGTTACTACCTGCCTATCTGCTAAATACAATATCAGATTATAAAGTTCGTCTTTCAACGAAACTTCTTAAACGAAATCGATCGTTTCGTAACAGAAAAGCTCGCCGAGATAATTTAGCACGGCAAAGGAAGTTTCCGAGTGAAGTTCTAAGTGACAGCGTTGTAATTGTGAGGTTATCTGCAAAGTTGCCGACCTCGCTACAATAAATTATGCGTAGATATACGTGACTTTTCCCTGCTTTATATTTCTCGATAAATTATTGTTTATAACCTGTTTATATAAACTTAATAATGACTTTATAAGGCACTTTATTCAGCAGTAAACTTAATTTATCGCTCTTTATGTCTCGAGTGGTGCGCAGTTATTTGCAGCTACACGGCAAAAATTGTAACTGGAAGACTCCTTCTTAATAAAAATTATTACGTTGTTAAAAACAACGCAACTTTTGATTAAATAACACTGTTTTGTGTACAATTTATCTGCCACTTAATTAGAACGCGAGATCTACCATTTTTATGCGGTTTTATAACACGCTCTAGGGTTGTAGTTTCGGGGAACTATAATTGTGTATATTATTCCAGAATATTTATATTTTTAGACTGAACATAGAATTAATTTTCAAAATGTTTTTAAAATCACCCCCCACCCCCATTACAGTTTGAGGAAGAAAAACTCTGTGTTATGTAATCCTAGCTCATCCTAGTTTTGTCTCAACTCGTTCAGATCTTTTAGTAGATACATAAATTGTAAATTGGAATAATTTTAAAAATATCCTATGCTGAGAGTATACATTTGCTATTTGAATAAAATAATGAAGTCTTTCATTCTACCTCAATTCAATTCGAACATATATTTTTCAAAGACTAAACCAGATTGTTTTAATAATGTAAAACTACTTAACCGACGCTTATGCTTCGACAATTCCAGGAGTAAAAATCCTGGAAATGGTAATGGATTGGAATGTATCCCCTCCCCCTTTGTTAACCAACATATGAATCTTATGATGTCAACGCGAAACTATCGGACTTTACAATATGAATTTTCTAATTTATTACCCTCCTTTACCTTGTTTGATTTTTTTAAAACATTATTACCGATCGTCCTTTGGTATATAAGGTACGAACTGGTCAAATTTGGCTGCCGAACGTTGTAGATAAATGTTTATTTACTTAAACGAAGAAAATTGGCAGTGACTGTGATGGTCAATAGTAGTAGGACCCTTTTATACTTACGTTGTGTGTAGTAGCAATAAAATCGAATGCTTTTATGAGTTCCGCAGGCTACACATTAAGCTAACATAGAAAACAGAGACATTTCAACAACTTTGTATACTAATTTTTGCATATTCACAAATACCTTCGATATCAGCTAGGACATGACAAGCACCGTTATTAATTTGTACTCGTTATACAAAAAACCTCAATTTAACTGGGGTGCCACTTTGCCAAAGTAAAGGAATACAGAAAAGTAATTGTCGAGTGACACAGTAAGTCAGTGGTTCCTGAGTCCACTTAACCGAATGAGAGTTCGGAGTTTTAGTAAGATCGAAATCATAATCCACGCCTAACAATTTCTGTAAATTACTGATCAAATACTTTATCTGGTTTTTAAAGTTTATGTGGTTGAAACGATCAAAATTGATAACCCTCAATAAATTATCTGTGAGAATGGACGTATCTTCTTTCTTGTTTCCATTTGGGACTGTAGTCATTTGGTGCATTTTGAAGACGCCCCTGTTAAGTTAGGAAATGCTTCATAAGTAGTACAAAGTCTTTGCTTTCCTAAATTTCTGAAAAGGTTCATTTTTCTGCAAAGTTCGATGTTGGCAATATGCTCAAATTCTACTTGTCCGCATCTCTGTCTAATACACATTAAAATTGGAGTAATGTTATGCCTTTTTCTTCGTTAGTGTCCGCTGCAATTCCTACCTGACATCTCTTTTCTATGTTTACGATATTCTCTGCATGTTTGTCGTCAGTAAAAGTAGGCGTTCCTATCAGCAGCCGCTCTAGTCTAGTCAGTAAGTTGAAATAAGAAAGTAAATGAGACAGTTTTATTGTAGTCTATGCCCATTTTGAACGTCCGAACTGTACGTACGTTTCGTAATGGAACGAAATACATACGTACATTTGAACGATTCCTTCATTTTTTCGTAAAACAGTCATACTTAGTGTGTTCTAAAAGTTGAGAGTGCACAGTTTTTTTTAGGAACCGTCGAGGGAATACATAATATTGCCAGTAGGTTCACAATATATTAACATATTCCGACACCACCGACCTGAAAGCAGCCAGATTGTATGTTATTTACCGTGAAACAGTTATTTATAGTTTTATTTTTCGTATATAAAATTTAAAGGATTTACGTTTTGTGTTCACGTGAACATAAGAGTGAATAGCAGAGTTGTTGGTCTTAAAAGAAACTAATAAAAATAGGATTTCATGGAATTAGTTGCATATTTTGATAAGCATACTCTCTTATTGTTTTTGTTGAAAACACAACACCAAAAGCGAACCAATTTAAACTAGACACAAACAAGTTCTTGTTTTCTTATTATTATGTTTTTTTTACATTGATGCATAATAAAAGAATAATGTCAGTCCGAGCGCTTCTTAGAAAAGGCTCTGCATCTTATAAGTGCTTCAATTCCCCTGAAGTAGTTACACGTCTGAGTAAGCAATTCTATTAGGACTCTCTCTTGGCGAATCTGATCCGAAATTGCTGTTTCGCGCAACGAAATTTAAATTAAATAGTAGGTTCCTAGAATAGGAAGAAATGGAAGGAGAGACAAGTGGTGGTATTATCCACCGTGGGAAATCGGCGCATTAGACACGTGCCGCAAAATCTCCTCTCCGGAGCTAAGATTTCCGAACTTGCACTTTCAACCCGGAATAATCCGTAAATCCTCTACCTACCACTTGTCACTTCTCAGTTATAACCCCTATTTTGTTTTTTCGTTTTCATTGAAAACTTAGTTAAATTATTACTGTAATTGCACTAATAATATACTCGTAACAAGAACCGACATATCATTCCATAGGAAAATATTGTAAGTGGCTACATTAAATACATAAAACACAAGAATAAAAGTTTATTCCTCATACCAAAAAAGAGAGAGAAGTTTATAACAATTAGCTTAACGTTCCATGCGTCAAAAATCGTTTGTATTATAAAAAAGGGTGGAAAAACTATTAAGTTATGACCAGGGGTGCAACAAGGGGGGGTTGGGCACCCAGTCAATTTCAGTCGATTCAGATAATAACCCGGTTCAAATAGTTCAAGCTCGTAAATGAGTACCCAAACTCGATCTTTCCAAGTATAAGAAATTCAATATATTGGTAACCTTCTTTTTTTTTTTGATCATTTATAGTATTATGATGGGAGCACCCAGTCAAACTGTAACGTTGTTGCGCCCCTGGTTATGATCAAGTTGTTTAGAAATAGAAGAACGCAGGAGGTTATTTTAGCTTTACAGGTAACAGTAAAGAAAACAACAGAAAAAGGAACGAGCGCGCTCATAGGGTTCGTAGATCTAAAAGAAGGTTTTGACAAAGATAGATATACAGGAGCAAAAGATTAGTATGCTTAGATCTGCAGATGATATAGCACTATTAGCATCTACGAAGGAGTTGGAGATATAGCCTTAAATAAAATAGATGCGGTTTTGGCAAACCAGTATTGCCCGAAAATAAATAAATAGAAATAAAACAAAAATACTGGTAGGCAAGAAAAAGTAGATAAAGAGCCGAAAAATTAGAATTCGCCGATTTTCGATATCTAAGAAGTTAGATAATTCAGAATAGAAGGAGCAATAAAGATACAAAGCAAATGATAACGCAGGATCGAGTCGCGAACGATTAATTTAGAAATTCGAAAAAGATTATTAAAGTTGTCTGTCAGAAAAGCCCGGCTCTTGACGGGTGTGAACCATGAATGCTGGGCACAGCGGAAAAGAAAAAAGAAATGTGATGTTAAACGTGAATGATGATACCGTGGATAGAGACCGTTAGAAATGAGGAGATAGTAGAAAAAGTAGGAAAACAGAAAGCGCTATCGAAGTTAAAAAGGAATATGCGAGATAAGTTGCTATGACACCTTATCAGGTATATATCAGGCTAGTTAGAAACATATTAGAATCAGAAACAGGAGGAGTAGGAGGAGTAGAGATGGACCTAGATTATATTACTGTTCACAAATAGTTAAGGATGTGGGATGTTCTAGTTTTAGGGAAATGCGAAGATGATTAGGTCAAGATAGAAAACGTAATGAAAATTGCTGTGGGTGACTTCCGTTTTATCGGCACGGAATGTACGAGAGTTTTTCTTTTGTCAGTAGAATAGTGCTGCGTTAGTGCTTCTTTGTGCTTAGAACTAGAAACTTTAAACTGCTGTAACTTATTTACTGTAGTTGTGGAGGGTTTCTAATTTTAAACACTAGAAAGTACTAGAGAAGTACTACATGTTTCTTAAAAGAAATTTACTTCTACTTTATTCGTATTATAATAAATAAATTTAAGCTATGAGAACTCCTAGTGGCATCTTGCCTGAAGTTGGAAGAACTTCATGTTCATGGATACGAAATTAAAAGCAACCTGTACGTACTTGCAATTCCCTTTGTTTTTAATTATCTTTACAGTTATCTAATCGAATGATTAGTATTTACTTTTGCCTTGTTTACGCTAATTACGAACACGTCACATTTTGACACTTCAAACTCCAAAAACTGAGTATCAATAACCGGAGAAGTCAGTCCCAATTTTGACGCCGGATTCGTCGAACGTAAAATTATCTTGTGCAGTGTTGGTGACTGAATTAAACAGTATTTTCGAAATGTTTCCGGATTATATTGCGAATATAGAAGAACTTCAAGCACCACATGTATACATTAAAAATACTGATAGGCTTAACAATATTATTCACCAACTTGTACAAGGAGGTAATGAAGGATTGCAAATAGTATCAGATTTCGATAAAACAATTACGAAACAACACGAAAATGGAAAAAATCATTTGAGCAGTTTTGGTAAGACAATTGACCGATAATAAAGAGCATATTAAGGAAATCTTTAATTCTATTTCAAAAAATATTAAAGGAATGTTTAGTAAATGCAAATCATTACCAAAAGATTATTTCGAAAACGATAGGGCATTAACAGCAAAATATCTGCCCATTGAACACGATCCAGTAATGCCACTGGAAGAAAAAAGAAAGTATATGGTAGAATGGTGGAGGCAATCAGAAAACACGTTGAAGTAAGTTATTTGCGGTTGGTGGACGTTTGTTTAATCTTATTGAAATTTCGAATTTGTTAGACATAATCTTGGGATTAGTTTAATTTTTGATTGGAAGTAAATTGGTTAATAAAGCGTCATTTTTTCTAGGAACATGGAACAATATAATTAATTTTTATTTTACAGAGGTCTCAAAATAACTCCTGAAGAAATAGATAATGTTGTTAATGAAGTTGGCCCTTCATTAAGGTACTGCTGATAAAACAGGTTCTCTTTAAATCACTTTGCTATAAACGTTACTTTGTAGGGATGGAAGTAAAGAAATGTTTGATGATTTATACAAATCTAATGTACCTGTTTTAGTTTTTTCTGCTGGTTTAGGAGATTGTGTAGTTTCAACATTAAAACATCACAATGTCTTATATCCGAATGTAAAGGTAATACATAGCAACATTAGTTGAATTTATATTTAAATAGGTATGTTATAAAAGAGGATGAATGATTTGTATAAGTATGTGCCTTTTCAATTATTGTAATAACTCCCACTTAACTGCATGCCCTGATAGCCACAAGAACGCGTAGATATCGAGGGGAAATCCCTCTTCATAAAAATGGTTTGACTTTTTTAAACCTATTACATTTGGTATCTAAAAAGTTGTATTAATAAAAAATAAGACAGTATCTATCTGTCCATATGTCTGCAATTTCTGTGATTCCTATCTGTTCCTGAAAATTATGGTCTAAAATGTAATTGTACCTTGGTTTTCTTTAGATTTATATGGATCGTTTAGGGATTTAGACAAATTCTAATCTCTCACTTCTTTCTGTCTTTATTTGTCTGTCTCCCACTAACCCTTTCTCATGAATCGTATTATATCTGAAAAAGTCTTCCGCCCTACCCTCCGGCTTTGCACTACTGTATATATATATATATAAATCGGAGTCACTGCGCGCCCATCAAATTAACTTTTAAGCACCACATGTGCTTTTTTATTCTATCACAATTCAATTTTTGAATATAAATGTTCATAGTTTAAATCGCTGTTTATTATTTGCATTTTGATGCTAATTTCAGTAAATTTTAAGGTTGTGTCAAATTTTTTAAAAATAACCGACGGTGTAGTTCAGGGATTTGATGGACCAACTATTCACATTTTAAATAAGAACGAATTTGCTCTCAAAGGTACGAAATATTACGATATGGTTAAGGACAGGGGTAACGTTATTCTTATGGGGGATCATACTGGTGATGCCAGAATGGCAGAAGGTGTTCCTCATCAAAAAGCTATCCTTAAGATAGGTTTTCTCTATGATTTGGTGAGATTTTTCCACGTTTTATTTGGTCAAATTTTGTTAAATTATACTTTCAGGCTGAAGAAAATTTGGAAAACTATAAGGAAACGTTCGATATAGTTTTACTAGACGATCAAACAATGAATGTAGTAAGAGCAATATTAAAGCTAATTTTGTGAATATTCGAGTTAAAGTTTGCTCTTGTACGTATCCATTAGTAATATGTATTTCCTGTTGTTTTAATCCTGTGAGTATTAAATAGTAACGTGTTTTTCACGATCAAATGTTGTGAACTATAACTTATTGACTCTATGTTATATTGTACAGTTTAATGATGACAGTTAAGCTTTTAATAAATAATTGAAATTTTTTATTTTGATATCAGACAATAACTTATGTATACAATACTACGAATTATTAATATGTTTATTAGTCAGCTAAATACATATTATTTCAAATACGCAAAACGACAGAAAATTTTTGTCAAACTCCACTCCTATATAATTTAAATTAATAACTAAAACACTAACTGACACGTAACAACGTACAATTTATGTAAAAATAGAAGTTCTAAAACAAGATAAGGCATGCACACCTACTGATTTATAAGTGCTAAATGCATGGTTATTAAAATTTATCCAGTATAACAAAAATCGAAGCACATGCTTATCTTTGTTTGAAAATTGCATTATAAACTTTAATCGAGTTCGAATCAATAAACAGTGACTAAGATAACAAATATTTCATCGTTCCATATTGGTATCTAAAAATATTATAAAATACCTTGATTTTTATCTCGAGCCCCAATCTACCTCACGTCAGTTTTAGAACACGAATATTCAATTGTTCACAAAAAAAATCATTCCAAAAATTTTTAATACGTTAGGTAAGGATCGGTTATTTTATTTTTCTTTTTTAATTTTTGATTTTTCCTTTCCTAAAATAGAAACTTAAAAGTGGCGAATTGAGAAGTAAACATAGAGAGCCGCATCATCTTTTGAAAAATACGACGTGATATAGGTAGGAAAGTTCAACGTTTTCATATAAATCTGTTTAAAAAACCAATTTTGTTGTCCGAAAGACAGACCCTCAAACAATTTGTAAAATATCTATGCAACGCACAATAGTAAATAAATCAACGTCTAATATAAAATAGTCATTGAATTAATTAAAATTCCAAGTGTCCATTTTAAAGTTTCCAAAGTTATTATTAAAATATTTTAAAGTACAATTATCTACCCATTTTAGTGCTGCTACTAATCATTTTAAAGGGTTCAACTTCGCCACAAGATTGAAATTATCTTTTTAAAAAAGTAATTATTGATTATCATTAATAAAACTGTTTCATTAAAAACCTAGTTTTTTAAATGCGTTGTACATATTGTTTTTGAATATATAAAATGAACATACCAGAAAGTTAAGCAAAACTTGATTACAATTGCGATTGGAAAAGAATCAATATTTCAAGATGATATCGATACTTGCTCGAGTATCGGCTATCGATAGCGGCTGCATACGAATATCTAAAGTATTAAAAGTAATATCGTACGGATGGAGGCACTCGAATAATAAGATATACAAGGTGTTTCTGATATAAGTAGCAAGCTTGCAGGAGATGATAGAATGATAGGGCACTACAAAACAAGAAAATTAAGTACATGTACACAACCATGTATGATCGCTACAAATGTAGTATACCAAATGCCAAATTGCGCGATTCAGAAATAATTTTTGTAGTGTGTTTGTGTGTGCGATCGGGTACACGTGTGCGTGAACGGCTTACCGATTCGCCGACTAGCCGCGGGCGCCTTTCTTCATGTGCATCGTACCTGCGTTCTGGGAAAGCAATTAAACAGTTCAAAGAAAAAACAAACGATCCGGGTGTTTCTAGAGGATTCCAAAAAGTAAACAAAAGAGTATTTAAAGGAAGAGACGATCGCCGGGAGAAGAAATAAATCGACCGTTGCAGAAGTGAATCCAGAAATAAATTGACAGTGATAGCAGTGAAATAAATAGCGCAGTGTAATAATTAGTGTAAATAAATAGTTTTTGTTGTTATCAGTCTTAGAAGTTAATTTTGTTAAACCCGCGAACATTACAGATTGTTATTTGTAGTAGCGTAGTAGTAAGCTGTTGAAATTTACTTTATTACTAGCCGTTCCACAACCGTCACTGTTTACATTTATCATCGATGTAGCTGCTTAGTTGTTATCGCAATTTCTCTATACGTTGCCGATTCACGTCCTTCGGATTGCGACTACTGGACTTTTTACAATTTTTTTTGTTCCTTAACTACAGCGGTTTATTCACACTGTGCGATTCCCTATTGCATTTAGTTAGCACCCTCCAAAATTTGCTACGTACTTCAGAAACATCTTGTATAGTTGAGCAAGTTTAATATACATAGTTTCATATCTTTATAGACATATTAACTTGTATGTTATATCTTGAACGATTTAAGAGACAACCAAGAATTTTTATTGGTAGCACCATTCTCCACAAGGTTGCTAAGCTTGTCCGATAAGGGATGGTAATGTGTCGACTTTTCAATATGTTTTAAAATAAAATTTATTTAAGTTGTATAAAACAACTTCTTTATAACAAACTATTGACTTGGAGTGCAGATTGTTTTGATAATTACTAAACCCATTTATTTAAGTCACTTATTAACGTTGGAATTAAGATGTTTATTAAATTAACGGTATCCCGTTGTTTTTACTAGCTAATAATTCACATTATTAAGTGTGCGGTGGTAAAGGTTTAATGTGGCTGCAATTTTTGCAGCGAATAGCAGCAATCAAATAAAAAATGTGTAAATACATTTATTTTAAAAATACATCAGTTAGAACAACTACTAACATTATGAGAGACTAAAAATAAAAATACGTTAAAGTTTACTATTCAAAAACCTTTTATACTAAATTAATACTTTGCGTTCCACAAAGTTTATTATATGAATATCACAGTTTGTACAATAATTATAAATTAGAAAAGAAAATTAATTTTATTTGGTCGGATTAAAAGAAATAATATTCGGAACAGTTAGTTAAAGACTAGTTTTCGCATTCAAAAACACATAACAAATACTATTAGTGAATAACCCAACTAACTTAATATGTATGTATAATTTCAAAAGCGTTCTTCATTTATCAATGTATTGGTAAAATATTGGAAGTTCATTGCTTAATTAATATGCATATTTTAAAGTTACTATATTGTTTTACTGTCTCTTATTGTAGAAAATAGTTCAGATTGTATTGAACTTTTCATACTATTGTACATACATATTATTCTCTATATCCTCTATATCCAAAATTAATTGCAGAAATTCATGGAATGCTTCAAAAAAGGGATCAAATATATGGCTTATAATAAAGTAGATATTTAACAAAGCACTCGATTCGGAAAACAACTCGTGACCACATCATTATACATATCTAAAGTACCTAGTGTGGACTAACATGTCAATTACATTTCTCATAAATGGTATAAATATTTTGTTATGAATAACCAATGAACGAAGTTATCAACAAGTAAATCAGCACTCTCTTAATTAATGCATGAGCCTATAAATAGTTCATTTTTCGCCACACTTTGTGCATTATTTATAAGTAAAAGTTCCTGTTTATCTACAAGCTACTCAGTCGTTCTTATATACTCTGTCGTTTAAGTTAAATGTCTTCCGTCGGTAATGGGGCTTTCTTATATCTTGTTGAAGCTGTCACTGGTACAAATTCTCGTAACGAATAAAATCTCGATCGATCGTCATGATCTACGTGTGTCAGTTGAAGGAAACAACAAGGCATTGATATCTGATTCTTCGGAGGCAGAGGCAATGGCTTGGGCTTCTTTTCCTTCTTTTTCTTCTTTTTACCAGGCACCTAGAATTAATTAATTAATTAAGAACACAACTATGAAGCATTAGTCGTTGTTCCTCTCGCAAGAGAAGGAAGGAAATCCTAATCGGGTTAATTAATAATAATTATTTGTGATAAATAAATTCCAATGTATTGAGGAAATGAAACTTCAGTTTTTCTAGGATAAATTCAGCGACTGTAATAAATGCCTAACAGCGAATTCCAACGAGTGTTTTTCTAATAAGTTCTTAAAAATAGTTTCGCTTTTTCCATTAGGTACTCCTCTAACGCCTAACTATTAGTTAGTCTGTGACTGGATCACGACAAAAATTCAGCTCTAATGAAAATATTTGTGACATTTAACTTTGAGAATTAAAGAAATGTAAATACCTAATAAGGAGTGGAAAATATTGCTTTCTTTTATAATGATACTGTCGCTCTTGAAACTAATCGTAAGCGACGATATGCTTGGATTATTAAAATAAAAACTCAAATTTAACACTGATTTAATCTAGAAAAACTTAGTTACAAAAATATACAAAAAGGCAAAACGCGTGCGTCTAACAGGGAAGACTTAAGTAGACTCTTCTCTAAAAATAAAATATTGGACGTGACCAATCGTTCACAATTTCCTTCTTAGAATCTACGCTATTATTCAGTATGAGGACCCCGAAGGATGGGTGGTCAAAAATGGTTTACAGCCCTCTTACGTCTACAATTCCTTCATATAGCTGTAAATAGACCATCCGCTAAAGCAGCAAATTTTCCCTTGAATAACATGAAAAGCAATTTAAAAGTTTTAACTTGAAATTTCGTAAAATGGAACATGAAATAAACGATTTAAAAAATACAATAAATAGTTGGACAAAACAAGGAGAATGATTTCAAGCGAGGGCGAATTTTCAATTTACTTGCTTTAGACAAATTCAATTGATGCCAAAATAACATTCTACAGGATAATAGTAGTTTCTATTAACATACAGGACAGTTAAAAGCGAACAGAAATAAGAAAGTAATAGAGGCAATAGCAATGGTTATGTACAGAGAGCAAGTAGGGTCCAGACTAGAACATACACTAAACCAAGAGATAAGAAGACTACCACAACTTATGTGGTATGGACTCGCAATGGGGATGAAAGAAAATAGATAGCCAAAAAATGTTAGTTAAATGTGGGTGGGGGTAGGGGGGTTCGAAAGAGGGTGGTCACCAGAGTAAAACCCCATAAAAAATTTGCGGCGGTCTCACCCCCATAAAACGTTATGGGTGTTGAAAGTTGATTATTTTGACAAATTTTATAAACAATAATTCAAATAAAATTCAATAAAACAAACATTTTCAAGCGGGTGGAGGTGGGGGATCGAAAGAGTGTGGTCACAAAACAACNGTCACTTGAACAAAACCCGATAACTTAACCTAACCTACCCTATTGATAAAGATATTTAAAGAATGTTTTATATAACTTTCTCAATATTTTTATGTATTTTTCATTAGTTTTACCTTTGAATATTGCTTAAGAATGACTATATAAATATTTACATGCCTAGAAATGTGTAAAAATTGGCATATTTATTAACTTTGAACCCCCATAAGTTTTTATGGGGGTGAGGCCGCCACGAACTTTTTATGGTACAGTGGTGGGGAGACCTCCTCTTTAGACCCCCCAACCCCTTCGGGGGTGGGGGCCATCATCTAGACCTTTACCGAACTATGTCCCAACAAATACCTTGAAAGTGAGGAAGACCAACACGGACATGGGATAAGGATAACAATAAGAACGATGGAGGATCAAGATGAATAAAATCTCTATTTAAGACCCCTTTAAGGATGTTTGTATTTAATCAATTTCATCAATGACAGTAGCTACTTACCGATAAAGAAATATTTTCTGGACATGCCACTAGTCGCTCAATATGCGTCCACATATCGTGGGCAGCCTGAGCTGTGTCGAAGCTGAATCCAATTTGCAACGTGTGGTCGCCCGAATAGCACATAGTGTGGAACGCTTTGCCGGCAACCTTGTAGGAGGTGAGATTGTCGATGGTGTCACGCCAAAGCATAAAACCAGTACCTCTTTCGGCCAACACAATTTGGATTCGACGCTTATCTCGGGCTCGTGATTCTCCCACGTCCAACAGAACAACCGGAATGCCTGTGTGCTTCAAAGCCCATTCGGGATCCAAAGGCGTTTTCGTATATAAATTCGCCAGAGAACCGCTTACATAAACCTGAAAGAAAAATGTCGTTCCGTGAGAAACTAGTAACAAAAATATGCAAACAATGAAAAATGTACAATTGATTTTTTGTTTTAGGACGTTTTGGGATATATGTTTTTCGAGAATGAATCAATATTTAGGAACAAACTTTTTTTCATTCGGCCATGTCGTTGTCATTGTTTAATTTTGTTATTTCTTCTGATTTACGACAGAAACTACAAGCAGTTTCTGCTTGGCATAATAAATAGCATACGAATTTTACAAATTGGCTTCTTGCTGCATGGTGATTTATGTAATGTCTCCTTTGGTTTACTTACTTTGATTCCAGTGTATTTTGACTATTTACTTAATTACTGCTACAATTACCCGGTATAGAAGTATAAGCATCTACCAAGTAGGAGTTAGAGATAGCTTTAAATAAAATGGAAGCTGTATTGACAAAACAGTATTGTGTGAAAATAAATAAAAGAAAGTAGAGAAAGAGCGAATATATAAAGATAGAAGACGAAAAATTAGAAAAAGTGACTGATTTTAGGAGTAGTAGGGATATAAATCCGAAGATAGCGCAGGATCGAGTCGCCTTCAATAAAATGAAGTCACTTCTATGCTTGCGAACAAATAATTCAGAAATTCGAAAAAGATTGTTAAAGGTGTATGTTTGGAATGCAGCGCTATACGGGTGCGAAACATGGACAGTGGACGCGCAGAAAAAGAAAAAGTTAAAAGCGTTCAAATGTGGTTACCGGCGAATTATGAGGATACCGTGGATAGAAAAGATTAGAAATAAAGATATTAGAAAGAATAGGAGAAGAGAGGACTCTATGAAAGTCTATAAGAAATAGACTAGATAGGTTGATAGGACACCTTCTCAGACATGGTCTAGGCAAGGAAATGTTAGAGACAAAAACGGGAATTAGGAGAAGTAGAGGTAGACTTAGATTAGATTACTGTTTGCAAATAAGTAAGGATGTGAGTTGTTCTAGTTTTAGGGAAATGCAAAGATTAGCTCAGGATAGGAAAGAGTGGGGGTGCGTGTCTAACCAGTCTTAGAACTGACGAGCTTATGATGATGATGACAATTAACCGGCACTGTCGGGTACCTGACGCCATTATCCGGTAACCTGCCGGATCCTTAGAAAAACGCCGGATCCGCCGGCTACCAGATCCAAACCGGGTTTCCGCCACCCCTAGTAATTAGGTACATAATACTTAAAATGTTCAAGACCAATAAGAACTCAAATTTTTATTAATAACTAAACCTTTATTAATTTCGAAACCAGTTTAAATTACAAACTACTAACATCGTCCGTGACTTTTGATAAATCGAATCATGTAGCTCCATTTCAGCAATAGGCGTTCGAACGATCTTCTATTAAAGGTCACCTATTGGTAAAAATCTCTGCGGTGTTGTTTGGATTATAACACCTTTTAAAAACCAAGTTAAAGAACTAAAATATGCATAACGTTCACAATCGGTTCTTATTCATTTATTGAAATGTTTATGACTGTTAAATTACACATTATGGCATGCATTATTGGCTTATCGTCCATTGTACGTGCAATAATTATACACTTATCAAACTAATTGTAAGATATTTCCATTTGTCATAATTCAGTTTGTATTCATAAAAATACGTAAATTCTACTTAATAATGGAGAAATAGATTTTATGTAATCAGCTTTTTATTCAGGAATTTTAATAATTATTGTAAAAATTAATTTCATTAAAAAATGGTTTAGTCTATAGAGATATACAGACGAAACATTTTTGGAGAGTAGTTTGTATCTTGAATATAAAGATTGGAGACGAAAAATTAGAAGAAGTGGCTGATTTTAGGTATGTAGGAAGTCTCAAATAAGTCAGTACGCAAGGAGTAGTAGGGATATAAAGCAGAGGGTAGCGCACGGTCGAGTCACCTTCAATAAAAAGAAGTCACTTCTATGCTCGCGAACGATTAATTTAGAAATTCAAAAAAGATTGTTAAAGGTGTATGTTTGATGCGCGGCGCTGCACGGGTGCGAAACATGGACGGTGGGCACTGCGGAAAAGAAATGGTTAGAAGCGTTCGAAATGCAGTGTTACAGGCAAATAATGAGGATACCGTGGATAGGGAAGGTTAGAAATGAAGAGATATTAGAAGGAAAAAGAAAGCAGAAGACTCTATGGAAGTCAATAATAAGCGAGATATGGTTTAAGGTCTAGTCAGACATGTTAGAGGCAGAAACGGGAGTTAGGAGGGGTAGAGGTAAACCCTGATTAGATTACTAATGGCATATAGTTAAGGACGTGAGTTGTTCTAGTTTTACTGAAATTGGAAGATTAGCTCAAGACAGGAAAGAGTGGAGGTGCGTGTCCAACCAGCTTTAGGATTAACGACTTTATGATAATAATGATGAGTTTATACCTTACTAGCATACAAATTGTCTTAACATTACAGACAGACACTTGAATGCTAAGTAAGTATGTAACTACTTACAGATTTATAGATTGAATGGTTCTTATTCGCGTTGCAGTTGAACATTTTCAAAATTTTGAGCATTTTTAACTACTTGAGTAGGTACAATTAATCAAAAAATTCCGGAACATTTACATAATGAAAAATCAAAACCATAAACCCACACACATCGGCCGACTGAGCTAATTTACATATCTAATTAAAATAACACGTGTGTTTAACCGTTAATTTTCGAATTTGATAATTCTGCATGGTCCTAAACGTAATGTTCAAACGCCTAACGCAAACATGCCTGTTTTGTATCTATCAGTACATTCATGCATATATATGTATATGAATATTCATGAAGCCACCAGAACATGCAGTCCGCTAATGTTAAAGCAAATATTGGAGCACATTTTACAACGAACCCTAATGCTACACGCCCAAAAAGAACATTATACGGCATATGCCGTTAGAAGTGCTCTATATCCTGCCTATTTTGCAAATGACGGTATGACTAATTCAACAAATTCATTTCCATTAGGTGTACTCCTACAAAACCAACACCTTTAACATTGACAAATGTATTAAAAACGATCCATATACGTATACAATAATACATATATACGTAACATTCACATTTTAGATATTTAACTCACACAACGGTAAATTGACCACATTTTCATTGAGATAAAGCGGGAAAGATAGGATGAAATGAGATTTATAATTTAGTTATGAAAACAGACCAATAATTCAAAAAACTATACTTTATCGTATACATTCATATACTTGTACAAAAATTTATTTATTATTAATTACTCGTAACTATAAAAATATTTGTTAAAAAATAACTTGAACATCATGATTTTTAATTTAAATTTTTTATTAAAAAAAATGACAATTTCCTTTCACGGTTATATTTTTGATCCGAGTGAATACATTGCAATAGATTCGGATCATTTATTAATATGAAATTTCTCACATAAATTGGTCAAATTATATTTTACGCTTAATATAGACTTTAAGTTTTAATGGTCGACTGCGTTTTTTGTTGTTCATATTTTACTGGTAGTAGAAAAAACAGTCTGTTGATGCATTTGTTTCTAGAATGGAGAGCGCGTATTTTACAATTTTCAAAAAATTTTAGTAAGGAATATTATTCTGTTTATGAAGGAATAACTCCGACTATTTTTTGTCTGGTAAGTAGTAAGTAATATATTTTTACACTACATTTAAAATAGGAAATGTAGATATTTTCTAAAAAGCGGGACATTTTTAAAACTCGGCGGGAAGCGGAACAGTCCTCCAAAAAGCGGGACTGTCCCGCCAAAATCGGGACGTGTGGTTACCTTATACTAGGGACTGCAATTTATCTGCATAAATAAAACAGAATCAAATAGTTAAACTGAAAAGTGTTAAGTTAGGCTATCAAATAAATGTCAAGAATTATCAGATAAGAAATTGATTTTAGAATATTAAAATACTAAATACTGTTTTTTTTTTATTGTGAAAGAGTAGCCTTTTATAGTTGCCAGTACATCGCATTTATGTAATTCATTAGGTTTGTATTTATCATGTGAACAAAATGAGCTGAAGTAAAGGGAAAAGCATTGTTTCTCAAAACATACTTTAGAAATTGCATTATAATAACCATATACAACCTATAATGATGAATAGACGAAGATATAGGCTAACTCAGGTTGAGTAGTACATATACTTATTGTGTACTATTGCACGTACACGTCAGTCATGAGAGATTTCTGCGAGTATTAAAATTGCAAGCTTTCTGTTCTAACGAAACAACTAGTTACGAACATAATGCACTTTTGTTTAAAAAGATGATAAGGCACACACAAGACATAGTGTCCCCATTTTAACGACGACATACATGAAAAAATGCCATATCCTATAGTTCTACAGTGGGTTCATTTAATAATACGATTATTATGTTATATTCTCACACACAAACCGTCTCATTTATGTCGAACTGTAAATAATACAAGATATGTTCACCTAAATGAATGCTGTATTTAAGTAAAAGCTTCAAAGTTTATTCAAAATCAAAATTTATGATTTCTTCTTTTCAAACTAAACAAAATATATATATATCCAATGAAAGTTGGATACAAGGTTTCTGTCTTTAGTCGAAACGGGAAAAAATTTAATTTCTTTGTTGATCATTTTGCGGGTCACTGGTTTAGTTTTAGTTGGCATACTGTACTCCAATTAAAAAAAATGATATTGAAAGTTAATTAGGATTGGAAGACTGTGATGCTGTTAACATAATAATTTATAAATATTAAAGGCATTTTTAAGTTTAAGTTGGCAGAAAAATGTTCGTTTTGTTAATAAATAAATATGTACTAGTAATTTTGTTGATTGGATTGTACTAATTATTTTTTATTTAATTAAACGCTGTTGTACATTTAGTAACTGGTAGGATCTAATAATTATAAAAAAGTCAAGTGCTCTTTACTTTTTACATAAACCAGGCGAGTATAATTTGTTTAATTTATTGTTTTTTGCTGTTGATTTGTTAAAATTAATAAGTGCAATTCATGGTAACTACATTTACCGTTTGATTTAATTGATACCGTCTATCAGTCCAATTCGTAATAAAGCAAAAATTTGATAGTAACGACGTATTTTATTTTAAATTTCAAAATTTCTCAAGATACTCGAGAAATTCTAGTCGAGAATTCTAGTTCTTCGAAAAATAAAATGGTCTAGAAACCAGAAACCCTATAACTCGATCAATAAACTAATTCCTTTACGTTATAAAAATAAAATTATACGTCACGCGCCAGTCAAAAACTAACATCAATAAAAGTGTAATTTTATCCTTTAATTGTCGATGATTGTAAGTCAAAAAATTGTCCGAATACCTAACACCTTCTTCGGCAAATATTTCGTTTTCGTGATGAATTCGACTCTTAGAAACAACCCCGATCATAATCGAATACATTTAGCTTCTTATTTCCTTTCTTTTCCACTTGCATTTACATTGGACAGTATCGAAATATCAAACGATTGGAAAAATTCAAAGTTATTTTTGGTTCCATTTACAATATTGGTTTCAGTTTCATGCTTATTAATAGAAAATATTTCTTACACACTGATTTATTAATATCCCGGTTATTAATAACAGAGAAGAACCCTACCTGTGTTTTTAATCCCCTAAAAAACGTCTCGACTTTTTGTCGTTCGTCGTCTGTGACCTGCCCTTCGAGAGGTACCGTATCGTCCCTATCGTCCGCTTCCTCACTTCCTCTTCCTTCACTTCCATCCTCTCTTTCAACGTCTTCCCTTTCTCCGTAGCTGCTACCGGAAGTGGTAGTACTTGAGTCTCCACTTCCCTCTCCCGTCGAGGACAACCTTACACGGGGGTGCTCAGGCTCGTACGCGTGCATATTTTGATAAGGATCATACTTTTGGGAATACCTACTGATGGAATATTCCGACGGTTCGCGGTGACGACTGCCAATTGATAATGACGACATTCGTTTTTCTACAGGTGAATATGAATCACTGTGTACAGGCATCTCGACAAATTGCTCTGAAACAATGGAAAAGGTGTTTTGTTAATACAAACAAAGGTAACTTTTGTGGAAAACAAATATTTTCATGACCTTACTGTTTATTAGTGGATACTTTTGTATACCAAAGGAAACAAAAGATACCTACATTTATTTTCGTTTAGGTATTTATCGTTAGTGCAAATATAGAACAACAGTAATTTACTGAAACTACACCACTCGAGGATTGCGATTTCAATCTCACCAATAACTTAATTAATGCTCTTTATTCATTTCGATTACATACAAGTATTTATACGTATATTGGCAAAACGTTAATAGAAATTACACATTTCTTCATCGGCATTTTTTCTTTTAATGCCCCACGAACGAAAATACAGTGTGTGTTTTAGTTCAAACAATAAAATAAATAATATTTTAAGAGAAAAACGCTTTTTAATATTACTTTCAGCTATTGGTATGGAATATCGAATATAGATATATAATGTTAATATCTTTATTAAAAATACTTATAAAATCAAACTATTGTTTTTGGTTGAACGGTTCTTTCTAGATTTTTTCGGTATAAATAATTACTTCCATTCCATATTTTAGCAATTTCGTGTCATTCCTACATTTTAAATTTGTCGCGTCTCTTTTGAGTGAAAGTGGTGGGTTTGCGGTACTCTATCCATATATCTAGGGACCCTACAATTCTTGGCGTTTTAGTGCAAATGTTTAAAATATCAAAAACAAAATGGGAATCCTATAAACGGCTAAAGAATCATTTTCAGCGTTTTCCTTATCAAATCCTTGCACAATTTGATATAATTAAATCTTCATAAAGTCCGTATCCACAATCAAATAATACAATTCAAATACCGTCGTTACTTATAAATCTTAAAAGAGAACATTGCGATTTTTTCTTTTTCAAATAGTTAAGATTTAAGATCAATTTTTGTTGGAATTAAAATAAAATTCCCAGTTCCTTCAATTTTCCTGATAATAATTCTCGATTTGTAATCATCCTGTTTAGTTTAAAGACCATTTGAAACAATATAAAAATTTGTAAATTTGTCATCTTATCTATGTATATCTTCGTTTGTTCGATTTTCATTATGTTAGAAAAGAAAAATCAAACGCACAAGTAAATATGGACAGATTATTTCAACGTTATTTTGGCTTCCACCAGGTACACATGACTGACTTATATCTTTTTTAATTCATCACATTCCCGTATTCCTCCTAGCCGATCCCGCCAGCCGTTCTTGTTTTTTATCTGTAACCAGGAGGGTACGTTTGACACTTGACACCCTCAGTTTCTTATAGGTACAGACTATCACACTAACAACAACAGTTATTTTCGCTAATAATTAATTCTTAATATTGTTAAGATTTTTGTACTAATATCTCTATTTGTAATTTGTGTTTCTATAAAGGCGATTAAACTGTTGTCGTTAGTTTTTAACCTCGTATTATAACATGCAGTGCTAACAGCATCCTGTACACTACCAATTAAAAGAATTTCCGTAATACACAAGGAGCAATTATACAGTCTTTATGGTTGATTAATTATTGCTAAGCACGAGTTTTAAAGATACTCGCAATATTACATGCTTTATAGGTCTTTGTAGCGACCAAGGACAATTAAGTTCCGCTTGGTGGTTGTACTCACGATCAGTCAAAAAAGTTAGTAATCGAACCACCACAACTGCTGCTCATCACACGTCTCGTTCTATAACGAATCTTTTCACTGTACAACTTCAAGTTTTATTTGTAGGTAAAACATATACTCATTTTCAATTACAGTAAGTGTAAAAACAACCGAACCACGATGTACCTAATACCTATTACGTGTAAAATTATTGACTAGGAAAAAAATATTTTTTTTATTATCAGCTCATACATTTTTCAATCTTCTTTGTAAAATTAAGGAGCAGTACCTACAGGAAAGTCATTTTACATTTTTGTATAAACTATAGTAAAAAAGTTGCAACTTTTTTCTATTTTGATGTGATTAATGCGCGAAGAGCGAGAGCGAGGTAGATGAAAATGAAAAAATTTTATGAAAATCTTTTACTACATTCACCTTCATTATAAGATTTTTTACAGATTCTTTACAAATGTAACTGCTTGTTTAAACGTTACATTCCCATTTGTTTTTTAATGTAGCGAACATATAACATTAATGTAAATCTAAAAAGAAGGTTAACACCGATTGAAACCTTCGTTTGTGTACCATATATGTACAACAACAAAAATGCTCTTAAGTTTAGTACTAGTAGTAACCTCGACCTTAAGAATTATAGTGTATTTTAGTTGTTTTAGGTCAGCATTCGTAATGATGTATTTATGATAGGACATGCCTAACGAAATTGCTATTTTATGTATCTCCTGTCTTAACAGTTTTAAATTGTAAGAAGAATTGCACATTATGATTCTCTGGTATGATTACTTACAATTAGCACACATTCGTTCTTATGTAGAACTTATTAATATGTAATTTATGTATTCTTAGCATACGCTTGTACATCAGTAAAATTTGCGCTTTACCGCCTACATTAACCGTCCTTCTCCCTTCTGACGTTTTCAAATTTTGTACTACACAATTAGAATGGAGAGAATTTCCCGAAAGTTCTCGTTATCACACAATAAAATTGAGTAGTATATTAAAATGTATTGTCGATTTATCGTCAATTTTTGTACAACAACATAAAAGCAGTGATTCAAAGCAATAATCACAATCTCACCTTGACCTTCCAACAAACGTTTTAATAAATGTATTATTCCTTACATGTAACAATTTTTACAACGACGGGGTCAACTGAGGTAATAATGCCTTCGGCAATTGCAGCCGCTCTGCCACAACCAGTCAATTTTCATATAATGCAAATTTGCTCATTAGAAGTAGTAAATCCAAGAGTTTACTTAAGTATCTTTACGCTCGACGAATAAAACAGCATATTGTATTCGATATTCGACGCTGCATTAGAATGTGATTCTTTAGTACCAACATATCGTAACCTTAAATCCCAAAAAAATGTAACTTTTAACCTTTTTGAGAACATTACTTGTAAAATAAAAAGGTAAAACAACTAAAAAAAGTTCTCTTTCCGACGAATCATTAGCGTTTAGAATCGCCCCTGAATATCAAGCTTTTAAAACATCAAACCTGGAGAAAGACAACAATTTGGTTTGTTTAATTTTAAAAATAAAATATTTCGGAATTTCAATGTGCTTGAGGCCAGCTTCAAATTCACCGTTGAAAAAGGCATCTAAAGTGATTAGATACCTTTACTTCATGTAACTTTTAAAATAGCAAACGACTGCATTGTTTTCGAGCTTTAGGATTAACAAATTATGTCAAGCATTATATTTCATTTATTATCTCTAGCGATGTGCCCCTTCCAATGTCTTTGATGCCCGCTAGCAAAATCGTAGGTAGGGAGAAAAACGCTCATTATACTCTCGACTCTTGTTCATTAAACATACTTTTTCATACAGTACCTGCCAAAAGTTTTGTTCAATCATGAATAGTAGTGCGAGTCGAAAACAAGCGTTAAAGCCTTTAAAATGTCTTCAAGTATAAATAAACATCTCGTTGATATTTTTAGTAGTAAATTGTACCAATATTTGAACAATGCAATTGTAGTGAATAAAATGGTCAATTTTTCCGTGCAGTACTGTACAGATTATACGCTTCTCACCGGTTAAGAGTTTGGCCGAGAGTTGTCTCCTTCCTTTTCTGGCCTAGTGCTATTCTTTTCTACTTTGCACCGGTCAAACTGAAAGTCACATTGCTACAGAAACTAAATGAAGTATACTACCCTATTGTTTTTCTTGGGTTCAATTCTGACGCGCCCCATCAGCTCTATATGAATCGACAACAAATTTTATCCGATTTTGAAGCATTATGTACTCATAAATTCATTTGATTTTTCATTTTACTTTCATACCATTTCACTTTCTCGAAAAAAGCTTACAGATAATAAACGGCTTTTCATGTATAAGTGTGTTAAACAGTGTGAAAGACTAAACAGATAAGTATCCTTCATTTACCTACCTACCTATACGTATGTAGGTATAAAAATTATATTCCTTCCTTGCCATTCCTTCATTTTTCTTACCTACGGCGGTAACATAAACATTAAACAACAATCGTTTTCTGAGACTTTCAATGCGAATAATAAACTTATAGTCAAAACCAGCTATCACTCGAGGAAGTTTTATGGAGGTTAACGTCAAATTAACCTTCACCATAACTAAACTCTAAATCAGCCCGTGAACACACATACAAAACATGTACATACCTAGACACTTGAACATTGAACAGACTGTAACAACAGCGGATAAAAATCATAATTTACATCTTAATAAGAGATAGCAAAATGGCCTAATGTTAATTTTTCAATTTTAACATTAATTATAAAAAACATATCTAACATTTTACACACTCATACAACAATGAGTTATAGAACCTTGGCAAAAATAATTAACTTATTGCGAAGACGATTTAATTAAGAAATTTGTTTGCGCCATGTCCCCAAGCTGCGTCTCATTTTGCGTCGGACCTCAAAATACTTGAGCGCACACTAGGGAGTTAGAAAAGGAATTTCAGAATGCACGGTAGAAGAAACTAATTTGGCATACGTATGAGCAGAGTCGAACTAAAGGAAAAGGGGCCGCCTGTTCCTCAAAATTCCCAAAAATTCTCTTTAATGAAATCCCTAACACGTGCCAAATACGTTCACGATCAGTAATGTTGCAATTCTACTGATAACTGCACCAAATTTATGTTGAGATCAAAGTATAAAAGAACTCGCAGAACTTTTCCTTAGTTATTATCCCTAGACTAAATTTTCAGTCTCTCAGAGTTTCAGCGTCTCTCACAGTCTCTCAGTTATTTCCTACGTGTTTTTATGGACCTCTCACGGTCTCCGTATGAGAGACTCGAACGATAAAATTGTTAATTCAGAGATTCGAGTCCTTCACAGAGAGACTGAGTGAATAAAACTGAATAATTTATAGACTCGAGTCTCTC